ACTTAATGCTCCTTAACCTCCTTCCTGAGGGGAGTGGGGCAAAAAGTGTGTGTGCTGGGTGAGTGGGGTCCTTCATGATGCAGGTGGCCCTCTTCCTGCATCTGGAGGTGTAGATGTCTGTGATGGTGGGGAGGCTGATTCCAACAGATTTCTGTGCAGCCTTCACCACTCTCTGCAAAGCTTTTCTTTCTGCAGTTGTGCAGCCTCCATGCCACACATTGATGCTCGAGCACAGGATGCTCTCCACTGCACACCTGTAGAAGGAGGTGAGGACTGAGCTTCCCAGACCAGCTCGCCTCAGCCGTCTGAGGAAGTAGAGTCTCTGATGAGCTTTCTTGATCAGGCTGGTGGTGTTGTTGCTCCAGCTGAGGTTGTCATTCATGTGTACACCCAAGTACTTGTAGCTGAAGACCACTTCCACCGCAGATCCTCTTATGTTCAGGGGGGTGTAGGTGTTTTTGTTCCTTCTGAAGTCCACAATCATCTCCTTTGTCTTCTTCACATTGATGTGAAGGTTATTCTCTTTGCACCAGCTCTCCAGGTGTTCCACCTCTTGCCTGTAGCTGGACTCATCATTGTTTGTGATGCATCCCACCACCGCTGTATCATCTGCAAACTTTACAATGTGACAGCCTGGATGGGTAGCTGCACAATCATACGTGAGCAGAGTAAACAGGAGGGAGCTCAACACACATCCCTGAGGAGAGCCAGTGCTGAGGGTTATGGTGAGGAGGAGAGGTTGTGGATCCTCACTAACTGTGGTCTGTTTGTTAAAAAGTCTAGTACCCAGTTGCAGATGGAGGGGCTTAGTCCTAGTGTGAATAGTTTGTCCATCAGGGTTTGGGGGATCATGGTGTTGAAGGCAGATGTGAAGTCCACAAAGAGCATACGGACGTAAGAGTTTTTCTGCTCCAGGTGGTTGAGCGCAGTGTGGACCACAGAGGAGATTGCATCCTCTGTTGATCGGTTCTCACGGTATGCATACTGATGAGGGTCCTCGTTGATGTTGATGGTTGTTTTGATGTGAGTCATGACCAGTTTTTCAAAGCATTTAGCGACTTTCAGGGTGAGGGCCACTGGCCGATAGTCATTCAGACCAGTCACTGTAGAGCAGGGGTGCCCAACCTTTTTTGAACCAAGAGCTACTTTTGAAGTCGGCAATTTGCCGAGAGCTACTCGTCCAGTCTCATTATCAACAAACATAATTTTTCATCAATCCCTACTCCTCACTTATTTAAAGTAAATAAAACAGAACATGATGCGTCTATAGGAGACAACTTTTTATGCAAGCTGTATAAAATAAATGTGTCTCTACCTTAGTGGGACTTCTGACACTGAGAGGAGGAGGCCAGGGTCTCATAAGCTGGGCAGTATGAGGTGGTTGCGAGGCGCAGGCAGGTCTCCAGATGATCATCATTCATTGTGGATCTGTTTTTGGACTTGATGATTTTCATGTGTGAAAAAGCAGACTCACACAGGTAGGTAGATCCAAAAAGTGCTGTTAAGTTCAAAGCACATCTTCGGATGTTAGGATACTTTTCTTCTGACAGCAGACTCCAGAACTCTCCAGCCACGCCAGGTGATGCTCTGGATTTGATCCCAATGTCATTTTGCAGAGTCAACACCTCATTTTCAACACCAGAGCTGTCCAGCTGAAACACGGACACCAATTTGGACACAATGTCATCCACATCAACATTTCCAAAAGGATAACACATGTAGCTGGTAACAGGCTCGATGGAGGAAAAGTCAGTAAATCGTCTCTCAAATTCTGCTGAGATGCTCTGAACCTGCTTAGAATAGTGTGCACTGTCCAGTTGTGGGACCTCTTTCCCTTGGCGCTGTAGCTCTGCCTCCATGTGTGGGAAGTTTCGCAGGTCCCTGCGTTGCAGCCGACTTGTGAGCAGTTGCAGCCTGCTTTTGAAGGTGCTCACAGAACTGATCATGTGGATTATGTTTTTGTCCTTTCCCTGAAGCTCCAAATTCAGTTCATTGAGCAGGCTGGTGAGATCTGTGAGGGAGGCTAAATCCAAAAGCCACTGGGTGTCCTCTAGTTTTGAATGTTCACCATGATCTGACAGCTTCAGAAAATCCCTGATCTCAGGCAACAGCTCACTGAATCTGTCCAGAAATGTACCTCTGCTTAGCCACCTGACGTCCATGTGCAGCAGCAGGTCTGTGTGGTCTGCTCCTGCCTCCTCCAAGTGAGCCCGGAACAACCTCCTCTGCAGACTCCTGGTCCTTATAGAGCACACAGTTTTCATGGCAACATCCATCACTTCCTTCATGTTTAAAATCTTCCCACACAGGGCCTGTTGGTGGATGATGCAGTGATAGTGCAAAATGTCTGGGAAAGCATCATTCTGCTTGCAGAGTGCAACAAATCCACTGGTGTGACCAGTCATTGCTGGAGCGCCATCAGTTGTTATAGAAATTAGTTTAAAGAGGGGCAAGTTGCTTTTATTAACAAACTCCATAAACACATTAAAAATATCTTCTCCTCTTGTGTGTCCCTTCAAAGGCAAGATGGTGAACAGCTCCTCTTTTGCACTCATGTCTGCAAAGGCCATTCTGATAAAAATACACAGCTGGGCTACATCCACCATGTCTGTCGACTCATCAAACTGAAGAGAGAAACACTCACATTGTTCCACGTCCTTTTTTAGCTGCTCCTCCACATCCACAGCCATTCCCTCACATCGCCATGTCACTGTTTGTCTGGACAACTGCACGTCTTTAATAGCAGGTACGATCTCACTTTTATTTTTAAAATCATGAAAAAGCGCATCTGCAGCCTCAATAAACGCTTCTTTCATAACTTGTCCATCGCTGAAAGACTTCTTATGTTGAGCCAGGATGCGGCTAACACGGTAGGAAGCTATCGTAGCAGCTTTACCTTTTGTGCTGGGCCGAGTGAAGACTGATTGCTGGGCTGCAAGCTTGTTTTTTAGCTCCCGCACTTTCTGAGTCCGTAAAGAACTTTTAAGAGGGAAATCTGTCTCAAACCGTTTGTGCATCGTCTTGAAATGCCGCTCCAAGTTACACTTTTTGGGTAAGGCAACGCTCGAATTACAGATGAGGCAAATGGACTTCGAATTAGAATAAACAAAAAAATACTCCTCCTCCCACTCTGTGTGAAAATAATAAGTTTTCGTTTGCTTGTTCGCTAGTTTTCCATCCATGTTTTCTGCGCACCGACATTACTCCACTACTGAGCCTAAAGTCTCGTGAGAGCGCTGTGTCACCGCACCCAAAACTCGCGAGACTATGTCTGTGAGAATACAAGTCAAGGTTTCGCTTTGCGGGCGACTGGGAACCAGCTGCGACTGGTTGGGCACACCTGCTGTAGAGCTTTTTGGGACTGGGATGATGATGGCAGTCTTCAGGCAGGTGGGAACTGTCTCCAGGGTAAGTGAGGTGTTAAAGATGTCTGCCAGCACCTCACAGAGCTGATCAGCACATTCCTTCAACACTTTCCGGGGATGTTGTCTGGGCCAGTTGCTTTGTGCGGATTAATCCTCCTGAAGGTACTCCTTACTTCTGCTGAGGTCACGCTGAGATGCTCTTCATCCGGTGGCGAGGTGAGTCTGGTGCTGGGTGGTCTGTTCGGGTCTTCAAAGCGTGCATAGAACTTTTGAGAGAAAGATCCCGCTGCAAAGCTGGAAGCCGTATAAATGAAGTAGCTAAGTCTAATCAACACGTTTTGCTCCTTGTATTAGTAGTAACTAGTAATTAGTAGTAAGTAGTAATATTAGTAGTAACATTCACAGAATAGAAAATTGTACAAATAAAGAACTGCTAAAACTAGCCTTTTCTGTTGCGAGTTTAAAATCCAGTAACATTAAATTTCATCCTGGTTTTGGTCAAAGCTTCCAGGGCCACAGGTTGCAAACCTCTTGTCTACATGAACAGGGTTTCCTGCGTCTGGGCTCTAAAGATTGTTAGAAGAGAAAAAAAAAAGAACGTCCGGTGAAAAACAAAAATCTAAACTTCTAATTTCTTTAATAATTTGAGCCTCTGCACCAACAGTAGCTGATACAGCATTTGACACCTGGGTCTTGAGGGGAGGTTTTGGAACGCAGGTCTGATACCACGGGGACTCAGCAAAATGTACACACTGCTCAGCTCATACCATGAACAATTTGGGCTCCCTTAAACTGAAATGGGAAGCAAACTTGGAGGAACTCATATCAGACTCAACCTGGAGAAGGATCATTAAGAACATTCACTCATCTTCAATTTGCCTGAGACATGCTGTAATGAAATTCAAAGTGGTGCACAGGCTGCACTGGTCCAAAGACAAGCTGTCTAGGATCAAGGCCAACCTGAACTCTGCATGCATTAGTTGCAAACAAACTCCAGCTACACTCCTGCATACATTCTGGACTTGTCTCAATCTACAGACTTTTTGGCAATCAATATTTGATACTTTCTCTGGAATATGTGGCAAAACTGTTCTCCCATCACCACTCATCTCACTGTTTGGGGTCGTCCCTGTGGATGCGTCCTTCAGCAAATGCGAGAGGGATGTGATTGCCTTTGGCTCTCTTATTGGCCAGGAGGCTAATATTGTGCAAGTGGAAAGACCCACACCCCTGTCATATGTACACTGGATAAGAGAGGTGATGTATCATGTACATTTGGAGAAAATAAGACACACTCTGAAGGGTTCAGTAGAAAGATTTTGGGACATTTGGCGGCCCTTTGTATTGTTTGTAGAAAATATGTCAATGCCTGTCCAATGTGTTTTTATTTGTCTGACTGATCCGGTGTGGGAGGGAAGTGTGTATGTGTGTGTGTGTGGTGGTGGGGGGGGAGGGTGTTACATCTTCTTTGTTGGTGTGTGTTTTAAAAAGGAAAATCAATTACAAAAACTTTGTTCAAGTAATTTGAGCCTCTACCTAACAGACAAATAAAAGAGTTTCCAATGTCTGCGGTGCTTAAATAAAGATAAGACACCTCTTTCTCAAAGTTTGCTATATGCTCCTGGCATCAAACTCTACATTTCTTTAAATTTCAGAACACAGCAAAGTGTTGTTTAAATAAAGGTTCACATGACTGCAGGTTTTGTTGGACTTTACAACTGCTCTTTCAGGAGAGGAGTCCAAGAAACAAAACGGAGCAAATCACCCAGAAGGTGGCAGGAGGCTCCGGCTTTACGTAGCACAACCTCAACGCTGGAAAAGTTGGGTCGTTGTATAAAATGCAGATAAAAATGGGATGCAATGAACCCTAATTTGTTCATAATGGAAAATAGTCATCATATGAAACGTTAAAAACAAACTAACAAAAAAAAAAATTCTGATAAAATAAGGCCATTTTGAGTTTTAGGGGAGCAACACCCCCCAAAAAACAACGCAGGCAATAAAAAGCTGAAAAAGTTAGTGGTGTGAATAAAAACCAGCTGGAGGAGCATTTGGTAACAGATTAGGTTGATTAGCAGCAGGACCAAGTATAAAATGTGTGTTTTAGAGGCTGAAGCTTTTAAAAGTAAAGAAGGGCAGAGGTTCACCAGTCTACAGTTTTAGCTTCTCTCCATCGGCTCCCTGTCAAATCCAGAATTGAATTAAAAAATCTTACTTCTAACCTACTAAGCTCTCAACAACCTAGCTCCATCTTATATTACAGATCTTATTGTTCCATATTTTCCTAACAGAGCACTTAGCTCTCAGACTTCAGGTTTACTTGTGGTTCCTAGAGTTTCCAAAACCAGAATGGGAGGAAGATCTTTCAGTTATCAGGCTCCTCTCTTGTGGAACCAACTTCCAGTTTCTGTCCATGAGGCTGACACATTGTCCAGTTTTAAGACTGGACTTAAGGCTTTTCTTCTAGATAAATCCTATAGTTAGGGTTGGCTTGGGTTTCCTGAGCTATCCTTTTGTTATGCTGCTATAAGCTAAGACTGCTGGAGGACAAATTGACCTCATTTCCTCAAATTAACAGTTAAAAATGAAGTTTGTGTTTGTACATTTTCTATCTTAATGTGTTGTGGGGTTTTTTTGTGGTTTTTTTTGGTTGGTTGGTTTTTTTTGTCTTTCCTCGTAGTGAGGACCTGCTCTCCTCCATTCTGGACCTGCCATTCTGTGTTTGTCTCTCCTTCCTGTCCTGTCAAACCAGCCGAAGCAGATGGTCACTCGTCCTGAGCCTGTTTCTGTTGGAGGTTTCTTCCTGTTAAAAGGGAGTTTTTCCTTTCCATTGTCTCCTTTGTGCTTGCTCAGGATGGGAGACTGTGATGAAGATTCAACACAACCTGCTGCTTCTTTAGAGAACTTTTACTAATTAGGTTTTTTTTTTATGAGAATGTTTCTGTTCAGTGCCCTGTGACAACTTCTGTTGTGACTTGGAGCTACAGAAATAAACTGAATTAAATTGCTAAAATGAGGAACAGTTTAAAAAACAATCACTATTAAACTCCCTCAGCCACAGGGGATGTCGGTGTAATGCGTTGTTTTCTTATAAAAATTGTAAAACTTCTTAGTTTTATGTTTCATAGTGAATAAAATATGTTTATGAGATTTGTAATCATTGCATTCTGTTTATTTTTACATTTTACGCTGTGGTCCATCGTTTTAAGAACTGAGACTGTACAAGAAGAGGAGCTGTAACTTTTGCACGTTAAATCATCTGAACAGAAGCTGCAGCAGCGTTTAATGAGCCACTCTGTATTTACATGGTGTGCATGTTTACCCCGAGGTAGGCCCAGGGTTTGGACACCTCCAGCTCCCAGTAGTGCTGTCCCCCAGTGAACCCGGGCAAGCAGAGCACCTGCCAGGTGTGATCGAAGCGAGCTTCGTGTGCAGGTACGGGCTGAGGTCCAGAGGTCAGGTGCTCCGCCCTCCGATTCTCCTGGGACAGAACCAGGTGTTCATTGGCTGTTCGAGGGTCAAAGGTCAGTGAGCACCGATCTGCAGGAGACAGATTGAAGCAGGAATTATAAAAAAACAAATCCAAACCTTTAATCTGTCAGAGAAGTGTCTCAGTGTAAATTACAAAAGCAGCAGGACTCACAAGCACCGAGGCCTTCGCTTCTACCACGGTGGCTTGGAGCAGCAGGATTGGGAACCACAGCTAGAACTGGCCTCTTATCCTGAGGGGAGCCCGGAGAACCTATCATGAGAACATGGAGAAAACCCAGCAGGGATCAGCAGCCATGACATGAAGCCAACGAGCAGCAGAAAGAACAGCAGGTTACCGTCTTTATCTGGCCCCACAGCGGCGCTCACAGCCTTCTCCAGGTCCTCAAGCACCAGCTTCGAGACCCGAGACAGGACATCGGTGATGCAGTTTAGTCGATCCTGCACGTTCGGGGAGACGTCTGTGGCGATGTCTGTGAAACGGGGAACTTGTACAACAGTCGATTCCTGTAAAGACACGTGCAGCAGAACAGTAGTTGTAAGGACTACAAGCGGCCATCTTGCTGGCAGCACAACAACAAAACAAACGTTAAAGAACTCACCCTGATGAGCTCCGTGTCTGAGAGTTTATGTAGATCTGCCATCAGAGCTCGGCTCTCAGCGAGTTTCTGAGAGCGAAGTTTGAGTTGGACGAGCCGCTCCTCTGCCTCCGCGATGGACGCCTCCCTTTGCTCCGAGATGAACAGCTCCGCTGCCTCCTGCTTCTCACTCAGGGTTTTTATCATGGTGGAGAATTTGACCCTCATCCAGGACGAAGTCTGCTCAAAGGTCACCTGTCAAAGGGGAGAACTCTGTCACATGTTTGCTTGGAAGAATAAAGACGAAGAGCCAAAGAACTCACAAGTTTACATACACGCATCCTGAGCAAGAAATATCGCTTTAATTTGAGGTTTTTATGATTTATTTGAACTGTCCTGTTTCCAGACTGGAAAAACGGCCCCAAAAGTCTGTCTAAGTTAGGAGTCATCAGGACTCTGTACCACAGAGCAGACAGCGTCCCCACTAACTCAGGAGCCAGGCAGATGGAGAAATCCCACACAAGACAGGCTCTAGAGCAATGTGGATATCCTAACTGGGCCTTCCTGAAGCAGAGAAGAAACCCAAACAGGACTCCAGTCAGCCAACAGGTGAAAAGGAGGAACCCAGACCCAGACCAGTGGTCATTCCATATGTTGAGGGAGTATCAGAGAAAATGAGACATTTATTTTCTAAACATAACGTCCCAGTGGCTTTTAAACCTCAAAATACATTACAGCAAAGACTGGTTCATCCCAAAGATCCAGTCCCCCAGCACAAACAGAGTAATATTGCGTATGCTGTTCAGTGTCAGGAGGGCTGTGATCAGTCTTACATCGGGGAAACTAAACAGCCACTGGCCAAAAGGATGGACCAGCACAGAAGATCAACATCATCAGGCCAGGATTCTTCAGTCTACACTCAATTCAATTCAATTTAATTCAAAAATACTTTATTAATCCCAGAGGGAAATTAAGTGTTGTCGTAGCTCATCATCCTGGTTTTATTCAAGAGTTGTTAGATGCTGATTGCTGTGGGAAGGAAGGATCTCCTGCAGCGAATACGAAGAATCTGGCCACAGATATCGATCTGTTCACCCAGATCCAGCTTGCTGTCAGATCCGGCTGGCCTCTCGGTCCTCCTGGGCAGCAGGGCCGCCCGAATGCCCGCCAGAACTCCTCCCAGAGCGATGGCCACTCCTCCCAGCAGTCTGCCGAGCTCCTCGTCACTGCAGACAGCCAACTGTAGGTGCTGAGGGACGATCCTGTCCTTCCGCTGTCATGAGCCGTGTTTCCTGCTAGTTCCAGGATCTCAGGGGTCAGGCACTCGAGCACAGCTGGCAGGTAGATGAGAATGCGTCCACAGAACATCCTTTTTAACTCATTTGAGATTGGGGGCTGTAGTTGAGATATTATTTGAGCTTTTGAGATGTTAATCAGCTGCTGGTTGTAGAAAACTGCCTTGTTGCCATGGTTACACATCATAACAAATGTCCAAAACTAAAAAAAGTTTCAGTAAAAATCCTTCCAGCTGCACAGCATCTGATACCAGAGGAAACAATCATCCAAAAATGTGATTTACATCCAGAAAAAGAGGAATTAAAGTTTCCAAAAGCAAAATCTCAGATTGAAAGTAACAGAGCTGCTCCAACATGCAGCCACCTTGAGCAGCGCAATTCTAGAACTCATCTCCAGGCCAGCGATCACTCTTTCAGGGATGAAGATGTTCACATCCTGGATAGAGAGGAACGATGGTTTGAGAGAGGAGTAAAGGAGGCCATCTTTATGAAAAGAAACCGTCCATCATTAAACAGGGGTGGAGGCCTCCGTGTTCAACAGTTCCCCTCTTACACTGCTGTGATTGCTAGTATCACTCAGCCCTCTGTGAATAGTAAACAGCCACCAGGGTGCTAATGATCCATTGTTAGGCTGATGGATCTCCTTTTATGTGATTAGCTGGCTCTGACTGTCAGCAGGAACCTGGTGGATCCACAATGAGAAGGTGCTATTTATAAGACTGAGTTTGTTACAAGCTCTCAGACTGTAGAAGTCTTTTGGGATAAAAGACGTAACATTTCAAACAAGAATCTTTCCAGCAGACCTGACTTAAGGGACACTCTTTTGAGGACCAAAATGTTCACATTTTGGCAGTACTGAGAAGACAGATGGTTTTAGAGGGGTGTGAAGGAAGACATCTATGTAAAACCATATGTGAAACCATCTACAACCAACCAACAGTGGAGGTCGTCTCAGCTTTCAAAAACTGGAGCTGTAGGCAGACAGTTTCACAAACCAGCCACAAGGGAGCACAAGCCAGTGTATCTCTTGTGCCAGTCCAAAGCCCAGGTAAATGGTGAGGGTTGTGTCAGGAAGGGCATCCGACAAACAACTGGGAGATAGAGAGGCCAGACTGAGATGGTTTGGACATGTCCAGAGGAGGGACAGTGGGTATTTTGGTAGAAGGATGTTAGAAATGCAGCTGCCAGGAAAAAGACAAAGAGGAGATATATGGATGCAGTTAGAGAGGACATGGAGGTAGTTGGAGTGAGGACAGAGATGGAGGATGACTCGCTGTGAAGACCCCTGAAGAGGGAAACGCTGAAAGAAGAAGGCAGACACTTTAACACCAATCAAGACCTTCATTCATGTGTCCAGGGTGGCCCATCTGTGAGTCAGACTAACAAAGACCCTAACGATCCTCTATTGTGAGGAGTGAGGGCAATCTGCATGTGAATCCAGCTTACAGAACACCTCGGCTTCATAACTCGAACTCTCTGCTCTTTGAATTGAGAAAGCTCCTCGGATGAGAAGCGAAACATCTAACAGAAGTCCAGTTGTTTCTCCTTTAATCTTTTTTGGATTTACCATGTCCTGGATGGCTGAGAATCTTCACCAGCATCTCTGGTAACTCAAACACATGGTTTATGGGCAGTTAACATTCACAGCCATAGTAGTTAAAAAAAAAAAACCAACATAAAACCGTGACCAAAATTCCCTGACAATGGACACAGCAGAGACAGACCAACATTTAGCTTCTTGAATGATCTTCCCAAAGTCCCGACTTCAACCAGAGTACTCACAGGCCAGATCCTTCATTTGACTAAGGGTGCATTCACACCAGCCCTGTTTAGTCCGCTTTAATCGAACTTTAGCTTGTTTTCCTAGAAAGTCCGGTTCGTTTAGGGAGGTGTGAACGCGCCATCGAACTCTGTCACGGAACAAAAAGGCGAACTCTGGCCCCGGCTAAAACGTTGGTTACGTACTGTAACCCCAGATTCTATGAGTATAAGCGTAGCCCTTTAAGGCCTTCGCTTTAGTGGGTTTATCCCGTTATGCAGAGCATAAGCACTGAAAAAATTAGTCCACGCCCACCTGCTGTGTGGGCCCCACCCGGTCCGTATAAATTACGTTAAGAGCGGGAAATCGGCTCCCAAAATAGCTTTTTCTTCAGCCATTTAGGAGCCAGTGAGGCCCGACGCTTAAAGGGCTACGCTTATACTCATAGAATCTGGGGTTACAGTACGTAACCAACGTTCTATGTCGTATAAGCTTCGCCCTTTAAGGCCTTCGCTTTAGTGGGTAAAGGGCGAAGCCGATGTGGTCCTCGCCTCACTGGGTCCATTCGAACACAGTAAGAAGCGGAAGCTTGCCCAAAAAACGTCTTGTCACTCAGCTCCCCGTGTGCATAACTACGTATCGCGTAATTATGTGCCATGCACAGACGCATGTTGAGTAACTATGCGTTCTGACAAAGCATGAATGCCCCGGAAAACTTCAACGGGAAGAAGAAGTTGAAAAGAGGTGGGGGGGGGGGGCATGAACCAACTGGTTCATGGCTGAACAGTATAACAGATTAATGTCCATGAATTGATTATTGATCAAATGAACTGATTGGTAACAATAATCATGAACTGATTAATGACAATAGAACCAAAATCACAGACACGACTTGTGACTGAAAACAACATCTCACACTGTAATGCATGCAGACAGAAGTGAGCTTAAACAGAGTTCCATGAGAACAATAATATTCATTCTGTTAGAGCACTAAGGACAGAATGTGTCATGGAACGAGCCGTTACATCACGTAGGTAAAAGCGAATAAATGAGCAGGGTGTTGACCATGCAGCCGCAGTGCAAATGTCCTGCATTGACATACCATTATGCAGAGCAGTCCAAGATGCGATACCCCTGGTCGAGTGTGCTTAGAGGTTGACAGGAGGCTCTAAATCTGATGCTCTGTAGGCTTCAGAAAAGGCCTCACACAGCCAGTGTGACAAGCGCTGGATGGATAACGGCGACCTGCAGAAGCATCTCTATAATGCACAAACAATTGTTGAGTTTGAAACGCATTGCAGCTGTGCGCGTTATGCAACACGTCAACGCCCGCACCGGGCAGAGAAGATGAAAAGATGCTTCCTCTTCTGATCTGTGGGGGGGAAAAGGCCCCTCCAACGATATCACTCTTGATTTAAAAGAGCTCGTGATGTTTTAGGCATAAAAGCTGGGTTGGTCTTAAATCAGCTGAGCTGCCCGTCAGCCTAAATTCTAAGGCATGACGAAGCAACAGAGAGGGCAGATAATTACTTACCCTCTTAGCGGGTGTTAAAACCAGCAGCAGGGCTGTTGAAAGAGACAAGAATTTAAGTGAAAACCTGATCCAGAGGCTCAATTGAAGCTTTGATCAGGACTCGCAGGACCAGCGTTAAATCCCACTGTGGAGCAAGTGGACGTGAAGCAGGCCTGTGTCTCTGAACATCTTTTAGAAAAACGCTTCATCAGCGGGTGATTAAAAGCTGTTCTGTCTCCGAAACCTTCGTGGCAGGAAGAGATGACTGTAACGTACGTTAAAGCGTACTGAAGCCAACTCCCTATCCATCAGCTGTTGTAGAAAAACAACACGCCGCCTAAAAAGGCATGAGGTGGCCTCTAAACCTTCTCTGTACACCAGCGCTGAAAGGCCGTCCCCTTTGATGTGTACAGAACTGTGGTAGATGCAGCACGTGAATCTTGAATTGTGCACACTATCTCTTGCATAGGCCGGTGCCCGCATCGACGCGTACCGTCGGTGCCCGCTCGCCCTTACGCCGAGGCCTTAGAATCCTGAGGGAGACCCATCCTCTAAGTGGGACCGCTCAGCGGTCAGACCCACAGGTGCTGACCTATTTCTGGGTAACTCTTGGTCGCTCCTCCTGCCTGAAGGAGAGCATCCTCCCTCCACGACAGTTCCACGGCGACCCGACAACAGACGTTGCAGG